GAAATCAGAACAGGAAGATGACGCTTAGAGCTGACGAGGCAGCACTGGGTACTGGATGAGCAGTTTCGGTTTCCACTAGGAGGACTCTCCTATAGGGAAGGGCTCCTTCGAAATCACACAGTTTAATCACCGAAACATGCGTAGCAAGGACATTGTGATTCCACTCTTGTATACAGCAGGCACTCATCATACTTAATTGTGTATTTGTTTTATGACAACTAATACAGCACAAAAGATAGAATATATATATACACATATGAATTTTGAGAAACTATAAAATAAAAATGAGGTTAGTACAACGTTAACATTGTCTTGCGGTATGCTTTAAGAAACAGTTTTATCCTTTTATCAGCGTACCTATAGCTCCTTCCCATATACATCACCCACATCATTCGATATACAGCGTTGGGCAACCTGTGTGTACACGTAATGACCTGCTTTAGATACCTCTGCAGAAGCACATGCCACACGTGGACTAATAGCTGCATTGCCTACAGCATTCACCCAGTTCCATCTGATAGCTATGTAGCAGGTTTCCAATTCTTAATCACCAAAAACAAAGACGCACATGGCTATGTTTGGATGTGGATGGCCATGTGGTGTATTTCTACGCATGTCCTGCAGAAGTTTTGTGACTCTATTTATTGAATAAATCCCCAGAAATGGAATTGTCAAAACAAAGCTGTATGTAATTTTAAACTTCGATAGATACAGTTAAATTGCCCTGCATAGGGGCCAGCATTGTGGTGCCATTGGTTAAGCTGCTGCATATGAGTGACAACTCATGTCCCAGCCACTCCACTTCCAATCCAACTCCCTGCTAATGTGCCTGGAAAAGCAGCAGAAGATGGCCCAAGTACTTGGGTCCCTGCCACCCATGTGGGAGACCCAGACGAAGCTCCTGGCTTTGGCCTAGCTTAGTCCTGGCCATTGAGGCCATCTATGGAGTGAACCAGCAGATGGAAGGTCTCTCTGTGTAATTATGCCTTTCAAATAAATAAATAAGTGTTTTTAAAAATATTTCCTGCATGGAGACTACCAAAGCTTCCTTTCCTCCCACCTTGATGATTTATGAGTACACATTTTCATCTCTGAAGAAAGAGATGGGTTTCTTCTTTCAGCCATATATTGATCTTCCTTTGTTTTCCTTTTTTATGCCTTTTGGACACTTTTCTCTTGGAGCAATTTCTTTATCCATTCCCAACAGTTCCCATAATTAATGAAGTAGCTCTCTAACATGCAAGCTTCCAAATATTTTTTTCTAATGTTCTATTTTTGACTTGGCTTCTAGAATTCTTTCCAAACAAAGATTTTTGTGGGGCTGTTTTTGGTAGTCCTATTTCTCCATCCTTTCCTCTGTGTTTTCCAGGTTTTGTGTCCTACTTAGAGAGATTCTTCCTCAATCCAGGATACAAATATATTCTCTATAAGTTAAAAAAAATTCAAGAAAGAAAAATCAATGGTCTGACAACCGAAACTTCTGATGGGAGCAGTAGCCAAACTTATTTTAAAATACACTCCATGCAATGTGTGATGTCCGAGTCAGTTTCCGAAAGGATTACTATCATGGCAGAGAGAGGCAGGCATCACTCAGCTGCACCCTGTGAGGCTCCCCAGTCCCTGCTCTGAAGCTGACACACATATGCACATATCCTATGCACCTGTTCCTGGTGGTTTCTGTGATGCTGTGGGACAGGCTGGAGGTGCAACACCAGAAAGAAACGCACTTCCATGGCCTATAGAGAGTCGGCCTCAAGATGTAGATGGTGCAGCCAAGGACTTCAAGCCATGTGCAAATAGGAAAAACAATGCAGACTCTTTGTGTAGATCTTCCCATAGCAATGCCCTATTTCACTGGGAAAAATTCAGAAAGGATTGTTCTGTGATAAAAGAAGACAGAAAACAAATCTGTCAATCACCAAAAGGACCACATTTGACACAGTGGAGGTAGAACTCTGCACAGCTAAACAATACCTAAAATGAGAGTACATTCTAGGTATTGCATATGCATGTATGTGTGTGTGTCTGTGCGGACACACCTGGGAAGTCTGAGTTCTTATCTGGCTGTGCGGACAGTTCAGCTGAGGTAGAAGGGACATTAAAAGCTCATCTAAGCCGGCGCCGCGGCTCACTAGGCTAATCCTCCACCTTGCGGCGCCAGCACACTGGGTTCTAGTCCTGGTTGGGGCGCCGGATTCTGTCCCGGTTGCCCCTCTTCCAGGCCAGCTCTCTGCTGTGGCCTGGGAGTGCAGTGGAGGATGGTCAAAGTACTTGGGCCCTGCACCCCATGGGAGACCAGGAGAAGCACCTGGCTCCTGCCTTCGGATAGGCGCGGTGTGCTGGCCGCAGCGCGCCAGCCGCGGTGGCCACTGGAGGGTGAACCAACAGCAAAAGGAAGACCTTTCTCTCTGTCTCTCTCTCACTGTCCACTCTGCCTGTCAAAAAAACAAAACAAAACAAAACAAAACAAAAAAAAGAAAGAAAGAAAAAAAAGAAAAGCTCATCTAGGGGCAGGCACTGTGGTGTGGCAGGTAAAGCTGTGGCCTGCAGTGCCAGCATTCCATATGGGTGCTGGTCCACTTCCGATCCAGCTCTCTGCTATGGCCTGGGAAAGCAGAAGGGGATGGCCCAAGTCCAGGGGCCCCTGCACCCATGTGGGAGACTTGGAAGAAGCTCCAGGCTCCTGGCTTCAGATTGGCTCAGCTCCAGCCATTGAAGCCATTTGAAGAGTGAACCAGCGGATGGAAGACCCCCCTCTTTCTCTGTGTCTGCTTCTCTGTAGCCCTGCCTTTCAAATAAATAAATCCTAAAAAAAAAAAAATCTCATCTAACAGTAGCTGCTGGGTTCTTTATACCTCAGTGCTTCCCAACAAATTTCATAGAGAAAAGTTTTTTTTTTTGACAGGCAGAGTGGACAGTGAGAGAGAGAGAGACAGACAGAGAAAGGTCTTCCTTTGCCATTGGTTCACCCTCCAATGGCCGCCGCAGCTGGCGCGCTGCAGCCGGCGCACTGCGCTGATCTGATGGCAGGAGCCAGGTACTTATCCACAAGGCGGAGGATTAGCCTAGTGAGCTGCGGCACAGGCTGAGAAAAGTTTTTTTAAAGCATTTGCAAACTATCTTTTTTAAATGCACACAAAAAAATTTAAAAATCTATTAGCCACAATTGGAGATTACAGATTCTAAATATCTGGTTTACAGAGCAGTGCTCAATGCCAGGCCTTGTTGCTTCAGACAACTCACAAAGTGATTCCTTAGAATTCAGCTTCCTGGGTCCCACTTCCAGACACTGTGGTCCACCCTCCCTCCAAGGACATTTTTACAGTTCCACAACTGATCTGGGTTTCAGGCCACCGCACTAGAAAAGGTCAATCAGTCTGTTGTAGATGGACACCCTCGTTGCATCGCTGCCTGGATACTGGCTTTCATATCTTTCTATTCACTGAGCTGGGAATGCAAGGATCATTATCTGAGGAACACAGAGCTCATGGTCCTTGGCAACAATAAGTATCCCATGGTATTAGTATGCTCACCTTCAGGATGCTGAAAAGCTTCATCCTGCCCAGCACCTAACCTTCTTTCAAAGGGTGACGTGGATTGGGGAAATTCAGTTCATGAATTCATGACAATTAAAAAGAGGACTCATCCTTTGGCTTAGAGAAAGCTTAGATAAAAAGCTCAGCCTCCTTGATTTTAAGATGAAATAGAAGACAAGGTGTGCCCTTTTTTGCCAGCAAGCAGACAAGTACTTTTAGCAGGATAAATAGAAAGACCAAAACCAAATCAAACATTGGTTTTCCAAGATCAAATTAACTTCCATTTATGTTAGCCCAAATCAGAAGATCAATGGGAAGTCAGACAGAAACATCTCAGCTCATCACGGAGCCCCTGAAAAATGAGTAGAGACTTTAACTGCCACTAAGTGACAAAGAAGGCATCGAAACACAGCTTAGCCAACCAGCCAGCTCCAGCTGCATGCTGTGGCTCATCACTGAGCTCAGGTTCAAGGCGTTATTGGGTAAAACGTTAAAGCGTTTTTCAGACTCTCTCATGTAATTTTCAACAAGAAGAATTTGTGGTAGATAGTACCCACAGTTTAATTTTAGCCAGATGCCTTTCTCGATTTTTAAATTTATTTTTAGCCCGCCACATGGCTTCAGTAAAAACTGAAAATGATAGTTAGACACAGTTTTCATCACATATGCAGAGTGAAAATAGTAACACTTGGTGTATTTTGTGCAGATTATTTTTTAGGATGGCAATAAAATGCACTGTGAAATAATTTAGATGAAATATGCTAATGTACTACCCAAAGTATCAAAGCAAGGAAGGAAGACCAAGATAAGCAACAATCAGTCTACAATAATCTAAATATACTGTGTCTTGTTTAGCACATTTTATTCAGAATACTTTAAAGTGTTTTATCTAGAAGTAGTCAATGAATCAGGGTCAGGGTCCAAAAGTACTTAAACTGTATTTTTATGAATTGTGATAATAATTGAACAAACCTAGCAAATGCTAATCACTTATTCCTCTCTCTCTCTCTCTCTCTCTCTCACACACACACACACACACACTCACACACACACTAACACACATGCACACTGAGAGGAAATAATAGGCAAACATTGGTTTGCTTCCTTTGCTTATTGTCCGAATTTGTTCTGATGGTGGAAGGTAGCTGTGAGGGCAGTGGGTAAAACCAGCAAATCCAGCTGAGTTATCCCATCCACAATATGAAAATTGAGCTGACCACCAAATGCAAATCTTCAAGGCTTCCCATTTGACTTACTTGATCTTAACCTGGAAGAGAGCCTTTATCCTCTGTGGTGGGAAGTCTAAGGAGGGGCCTTCCTGCTAATGCAGAAACTCCATGGAAGGACATTCCAGAGACCTTGTTTTACAGTAAAGTCACCCTCAAAAGTCAATTCCCCATAATCAGAGTAGAACTGGACAAAAAAAAGAGTATACTGGGCGGTGATAAGCTAAGACCAACTTACTGGAGATGTGGTTAATCGAAGGATGGTGCCATTCTTTATCTCATTTCGATTCTGGAAAAGAAAAAAACTTTGTAAATATTCAAGTAGGACCTTGGTAAGGAAAAGGACAAATGCAAATATAATCTAGTATTGACTCTGTATAATGAGTATTCTTATGATTCATTTTATTCTCACTTGATTAATTTTTAATTATTTCAATGAAGACTTTTAAGCTGAGTCCCAGATGTAATAACTTAAAGTCTCAGACAACATTCAGCCAGAGGAAGTGAAAGTAAACCCACAGTATAAGAATATGGGGCCTGCCGGCGCCGCGGCTCACTAGGCTAATCCTCTGCCTTGCGGCGCCCGCACACCGGGTTCTAGTCCCAGTCGGGGCACCGAATTCTGTCCCGGTTGCCCCTCTTCCAGTCCAGCTCTCTGCTGTGGCCAGGGAGTGCAGTGGAGGATGGCCCAGGTGCTTGGGCCCTGCACCCCATGGGAGACCAGGAGAAGCACCTGGCTCCTGCCATTGGATCAGCGCGGTGCGCCGGCCGCGGCGGCCATTGGAGGGTGAACCAACGGCAAAGGAAGACCTTTCTCTCTGTCTCTCTCTCTCTCACTGTCCACTCTGCCTGTCAAAAAAAATATGGGGCCCAAGAAGAGAAAACAAAAAATAAACTATAAAGGACTATGAATGGCACAGGACCTAGCAATTCAACCTCTGCATATATATCCAAGATAACTGAAACCATACCTGTACACAAAAGCTTGTGCACTAATATTCAGAGAAACATTATTTGTAATAATCAAAAAGTAAACACAACCCACACGCCCATCAACTGATGAATGGATAAACAAAGTGTGGCATATCTAATCAAAGGAAACTTATCAGGTCATAAAAACCAGCATATCATTTTGATGCATGCTATGAAAAGGATTAACCTCAAAAACATTATACTAAGTGAAAAAAGCAAAACCCCAAAGACCACATATTGTATTATTACACCTGTGTGAAATTCCCAGAATATGCAATTCCATAGAAATAGAAAGCAGGCTAGTGATTGCCAAGCATTGGACAGACAGGAATAGAGAGTAATTGCTAATAGGCAGAGTTTCTATTTGTGGTGATGGAAATATTCCTCAATAATTGAGGTTATGGCTATACAATCCATGAATATAAAAGGCAACATTCAACAATTTGTGAAATAATAAAATTAAAAATGATTTTACTTTGATGCATAACTTTTTTAAAATCCATGGATAGTATTTTTATAATATATATTTTTCCACAAACTTATTGAAGACAACTTAAATGCATGAATTTCAAAATTCTTTTGCACCCAAATTAACTGATCTTTCAGTTTCCATGAACTTTTTGAAATTCTCTTGTCCTAAAAACCCCAAACTAAACACTGTTAAAAGGTGAATTTTGGGGTGTGTGAACTATACCTCAATAAAGCTTTTTTTTTTTTAGTTATTGAAGAGTTTGGTTTCTTAACATTTGCTAGTTCCTTTTGCATGTTATATCGAAATTGAGAACAAACAGCATAAGTGAGCAGATCCCAAATCAGTCTGTCTTCACCTGGCAGGTGTATCTGAGCTGAGTGTTTTGAAGCTGTCACATGGCATCTAGGACACTGATGGTAGAATTTCACTGGCAGTTTTACTTTCTTCCACCAGAATATGAGCCACATTCAGTTTCTGGGGAGACTAGGACTTACTGTGGTCACATCCCCTGCCTGGAGCCATGAGGTCTGAAGGTTAATGGTGCTTGCGGGTCCCTGTCCTGCATCATTTGCGTTAAGCCAAGGTGCAGCGCACACAGAGGTGCTGGGAGATTTCTCAGTTAGACACCAGACATAGGGATGGCTTGTTCCCTCGGCCAATGCTGACTACTTACTGCTCAACGAACTCTCTAAGAGAACTACCTGAATGGAAGCTGGCTTCAGGTCAGTACTTCCTCCTGCAGGAAAGGAGATCTGAACGTTTCACATGGAGTACAGGGTAGCCTGAAAGCCCAGCACGACTGCACAGGAACCCTACATGTGCAATACAGCAATTCAGTGCCGCTGGACGTCCTGGGCCACCTCTGGGGAGGGCCAGCGCCTCATTACCAGACACATGCATGTGTGCTAAATGGCCACTTGGCAGGTGGGCTTGGATGCAAGATGAATTCAAGTCATTTTCAAACTCTGTTTTCCACCCTAGTTCTATGATTCTATGGGAACTGAGGAGGAAGACAGCAAATGCTAGTGACAGAGTCTTAAGGAAGCCACACACAGATGGCCTTCCTTCCCTGCTCAGCTTCTGAACGGATTGAGAGAACCAGAGTCAGAGGAACTAAAAAAAAAGAGTCAGGAGAACTAAAATACCAGCATGATTAATGGCTGTGGAGAACAAAGCTCAGAGTAGAACCCAGCAGGCATTCTACCTGAACCCTCAGATAGGCAGACCTGTGCAGGTTCCTTTTCAAGAGGGCAAAAGGATAAGTTTACTTTCCTAGATGTTCCAATCTAATAGGGAAGAGATACTTAATCTCCCTTCCTGGAAATCTGAACAGGGAATAAGGCATTCCTAACAATAGTAATAAACTAACATCTACTGAAAGGCATTAGGCCAAGGGTTTGGAGTTTTAATGGTTATTTAACCACAACAATAACTTTGCCCATTTATTTTTTAAAAGATGTATTTATTTGAAAGGTAGAGTTACAGAGAGGCAGAGGCAGACAGTGAGAGAGAGGTCTTTCATCTGCTGGTTCACTCTCCAAATGGCCACAATAACCAGAGCTGGGTTGATCCAAAGCCAGGAGCCTGGAGCTTCCTCTGGATCTCCCACGATGGTGCAGGGGCCCAAGGACTTGGGCCATCTTCAACTGCTTTTCCAGGCAATAGCAGAGAGCTGGATTGGAAGTGGAGTCACCAGGATTCCAACTGGCACCCATATGGGATGCCAGCACTGCAGATGGTGGCTTTACCCGCTATACCACAGCCCAAGCCCCAAACTTTGCCCATTTGAAAAAAAAAAAAAAAAGAAACTGGGGCAGCTATTGTGGTGCAGTGGATTAAGTACCACTTAGGACATCCCATCACATACTAGAGTACCTGGGTTTGAGTTCTGGCTCTGCTTCCAGATTCCACTCTAGCTAATGTGTACCCTAAAAGACTGCAGATGACACCTTAAGTACTTGGGTTCCTGCCATCCACATGGGAGACCTGGATGGAGTTCTGGGCTCCTGGCTTCAGTCTGGCCCAGTCCTGGCTATTGTGGGCATCCATCTCCCTCTCTCTTCCTCCTTCTCTCTCTCTCTTTCTCTCTCCCTCCCTCCCTCCCTCCTTCTCCTCTCTCTCAAATAAACATAAATAAACTTTATAATTAAGAAATAAAAGTCATGAAGCAGTTCTTTGCCCAACATCATAGACAAGACCCAAGCCACATGACACCAGGCCATGCTATAATCAGCCTGCAGGAGGTGAGAAGACTCAGACCATGCATTTACCCTTGGAGGGATGAGTGAAAGAAGTGACAATGATGTAGACAAATGCTCTGCAGAGTCCCAGAGGTGCTGGGTTGGGAGCAGGACTGTGATGAAATCAGGCAGTGGCCCCCCCAGGATTCCATGTGGATTCCTGCTATACTGACCCCTTACTTTCTGGAATCTACACAAGACTGCTTTGGGGAAAAGGGTCTAAGGGTTGCCTGTTTAACATTTAAGCAGTATTAAAACCACTGATAGGCTGAGCCGGGTTCAAAGTCCTGCTCTGCCTCTCATGGGTTGTGTGGACTCCACAGCAAGCGACTTAACCACTCTAACTTGTACTCCCTCTCCCCTAGAGCGGGATGAACAATGCGCTGCTTAAGGAGAGGAAGTAAGAACAAGAGGTGACACATGAGCACTGCCTGGCGTAGAACTGGCTCAAGATACGGCAGCAATTCTTGCTGTTCCGGGGAAGTCACGCCCAGCACTTCTGCTTGTGTTTTCTCAGACCAGCAGTTCATTTACTTCTCTCTCAACCATATTTTTCATCAGTGTTTTGTATTTCGGAATAAAAGGAGATGCACAGAAGGATTACTTAAATCTCAGTAAAAAGCTCCAGGTCCCAATAAAAAGGTGTATGAAACTCAGAGGGAAAGCCCACCACCACATTCTGAAAGGAAAACCAGCAGAATCCCAACTCTTTCACCACCATGTGCTGATGACACCTGCACTCTCTAAGGAAGGCTGAACTTGGGATGTAAACTTAATTAACAAGAGACCAGGCTTTCCATTGCTGTACTTTCATAAATTCCATCCAGGCAGGTGCCGCCTCACTGAAGAGCAATGGAACTTCCTGGACTGGATGCCTGTTTCCCTTCTTAGCCAGGGATCCTGGCAAAAGTGGAATGGCTGTCCCCTGTCCCAGCTCCCTCAAGTGGAAAATAAAGGAGACTGCCTGTTATCTAAAGTCATTCTGAAACCTAAGTGATGCATTTAAAGTGTTAGAACAATGCCAGGCACATAGCAAAAGCAACCCCCGCCCCCCCCCAAAAAAAAAAGAATTAGCTGCTTAATGTTAAACACAAAAACAACATCCAAAATGTCCACTGCTGCAGCGTTATGAGTTCAATCACTACTCCCTGTATGTAATCCAATAAATAAAAGCAATCATGCAATGCATGTCACTCTGTGACAACAGCACACACCAGGCAGAATAAAAAACAGCAGAGAATGCCTCTTCTCTAAGCAAATGAGAAGGTTCCACAGGAACCCTGCCTTACAGCCAGCTTCACACTAGAGGGTGCCACCTCACTCACTCTTGGTTCTGTCCACTTGGTTCTCCACCCTGCATGGCAGAGGACCCTTCCTGGATGCAGTCCTCCAAGCAGACAGCACGGGCAGTCAGCGTGCACGAGTGTGTGTGTGTGTGTGTGTGTGTGTGTGTGTGATTTGACTTATTTATCACTGCTCTATCATTCCCATCTAAAGCAGTGAACTTGTGTAAGCCTAGGACGTGTTCAACACCCAGTAAACATTTTTTTTTTACAGGCAGAGTTAGACAATGAGAGAGAGAGAGAAGTCTTCCTTTTCCATAGG